GTCATTCACGTCACCTCAAGGTCAGAACAAGAGGGGAGGAGAGCAGACGCTCTCGTCCCTCCCCTCTACCAGCCGGCACGCCACTTCACTGGTTCCGTGCCCGCAGATGGGAAAGCGGAGCCTGGCATACAGAGCTGAAGGAGGTGTGTGCACGGGTGAAGAGGGGGGGGGGGCACTTTAGCGTAGTGTGTGGAAGCAATCGGGTGGCAGCACGGACGCCTGATGCTTTCACCTGTCAAGCAAGCCCTGCTGCTTCCTCACAACAGGGCTAAATGTTAAAAGGAAACAACCTGCCCGGCACATGTAGTTCCAGGCGTCAGGCAATATAAATTGCACATCTCCGGTGAAAGTTAAAGTAGTATTAAAGGTTTACGTTTAAATAAAAACAAACATGTCATACTTACCTGCTCTGTGCAGTGGTTTTGCACAGAGCAGCCCCGATGCTCCTCTTCTCGGATCCCCGCAGTGGTGCTCCTGGCTCCTCAGAAGGTTTTTTTTTTTTACCTTTACCGTGCATAGAAGGTTAATGCATGAAGGTAAAAACCACCTGCCTTTAGAGCCACTTTAAAGAAAATCACAAATTTTGGGTTTGTCACTAGAAAAGGAATGATGGGAAAATCTTCTAATCTGGATACTTTCTCATGACTCTGGCGACAACTAAGGATTCCCCCAGTTTGGAAGGAGTTCCTCTCGCTTTCTGTTTAAGAACAGGAAGTGAAGAGAAATGTTTGCAATGGAACAATGTTGGATTTTTTTTTTTCGCCTTCTGATGGGTTAGGCAAGCCCAAACCTTGAAAAACAACCCCACAACATAATCCCCCCACCAAAACTTTACACTTGGCTCAGTGCAGTCAGGCAAGTACCGTTCTCCTAGAAACTGCCAAACCCAGACATGTCCATCGGATTGCCAGATAGAGAAGCTGATGATTTACCCCAGAGAACAGGTCTACACTGCTCTGGAGTCCAGTGGTGGCATGCTTTACACCACTGCATCCGACGCGTTGCATTGCACTAGGTGATGTAAGGCTTGGATGCAGCTGCTTGGCCATGGAAACCAATTCCATGAAACTCTCTACGCATTGTTGTTGTGCTAATCTGAAGGCCACATGAAGTTTGGAGGTCTTTAGCTATGGATTTTGGCTTCTGTGCACCGTGCGCTTCAGCATGCGCTGACTGTAATTTTACGTGGCCTACCACTTTATGGCTGAGTTGCTGTTGTGTCCAGTTGCTTCCACTTTGTTATACTACTACTAACAATTGACCGTGAAATATTTGGTAGCTAGGAATTTTCATGGATGACTTCTTGTACAGGTGGCAACCTATCACGGTACCACGCTTGAATTCACTGAGCTCCTGAGAGCAACCCATTCTTTCACAAATATTTGTAGAAGCAGTCTACATACCTAGGTGTGTGATTTTATACACCTGTGGCCATGGAGGTGATTGGAACACCTGAATCCAATGCTTTGGAGGGGTGTCCCATATATATATATATATATATATATATTTACAATTTCCAAATTTTGACAAAACTGAGTTTTATAGAACATTTGTTTAGCTCATTACATGAAAGAAAGGTAAATAATATAACTTGGATTGCAAAAATCTTCAGTTTTTTCAAATTAGTTGATGCAAAAATTAATACACCCTACAACAAAAAACTACTACATCTAGTATTTTGTATGACCTCCATGATTTGCAAGGACAGCCCCAAGTCTTCAAGACATGGAATGAACAAGTTGGAGACATATTGCAACATCTATAGTCTTCCATTTTTCAAGAACAACCTCTTTTAGAGCCTGGATGCTGTATGGATAATGATGCTCAACTTGTCTCTTCAGAATTCCCCATAGGTGTTCGATTGTGTTCAGATCAGGAGACAGGAGACATACTTGGCCACTTGAATCACTTTCAACCTGTTCTTCAGAAATGCAACAGTGTCCTTAGATGTGTGTTTTGGATCATTATCATGTTGGAAAAGTGCACGATGACCAAAGGCACAGAGTGATGGTAACATCTTCTTTTTCAATATAGAGCAGAACATCTGTGAATTCATGTTACCATCAATGAAATGCAGTTCCCCGACACCAGCAGCCCTCATGTAGCCCCACAGAATAACACTGCCACCACCATGTTTCACTGTAGGCACCATGCATTTTTCTTTGTACTCTTCACCTTTGCGATCCCATACAGTTTTGAAGCCATCAGTTCCAAAAACATTTATCTTGGTCTCATCACTCCAGAGTACAGAGTCCCAGTAGTCTTCTTCTTTTTCAGTGTGGTCCCTGGCAAATCCTAGGCGGGTTTTTTTGTGCATGTACTTCAGGAGAGGCTTCCTTCGTGGACGACACCCATGTATGCCATTCCTCTGCAGTATATGCCGTGTTGTGTCACAGGAAACAATCACTCCAGTTTGGCTTTCTACTTCTCTAGCTAACTGCAGTGAACTTGCTTGGCGATTTTCTTCCACCCTTCTCATCAGAAAATGCTCCTGTCAAGGTGTTAACTTCCGTGGATGGCCTGGTCGTCTCTGTGAGATGGTTGCACTTCCATCTTTGTTAAATTTTTGTTTCACTTTTGCTACAGTATACTGACTGATAAGTAAAGCTTTGCTGATATTCTTGTAGCCTTCACCTTTCATGTATAAAGAACTTATTTTTTTCTCAGGCCTTGCGACATTTCTCTTCTATGTGGTGCCATTGTTGACAGCATGAAATGGGAAGGGGTTTTCTTTAAGTAATGCCCTTTTTATAATCAACTGTCTGCTGGACACCTGCTTAATGAGTAATTGGACTCACCTGTAGTTGAATTCTTGTTAATTAGGGTTTTGTTGTCTAAAATTTAGCTTTGCTCCTAAGACTTTCATTGGGGTGTATTCATTTTTGCAACATCTTGAATGAATTTGTTAGGAAAAATACTTTAACAAATCTTGTTTGCAATCAATGGCTTACATTTGTGGGAGCATTTTGTAGTATAGTGTTTCATAGAAAATGTTGATTCTGAAAGAAAAGTAAAGTAAATCTGTTGGGGTGTACTCATTTATGCAGATAGATAGATGGATGGATGATATATATGCATGGTGCCTACAGTGAAACATGGTGGTGGAAGTGTCGTCCCTGTGGGGCTGCTGGTGTCAGGAAGCTGCATTTCATTGATAGCATGAATTCACAGATGTACTGATTTATATTGAAAGAGAAAATGCTGCAAAACACACATCTAAGGCCACTGTTGCATTTTTGTACTCATTTATGCTGAGCACTGTATGTACACTATGTTGACAAAAGTATTGGGACACCCCACCAAATCATTGGATTGAGGTGTGCCAATTACCTCCATGGCCACAGGTGTATAAATTCAAGCACCTAGGCATGCAGACTGCTTCTACAAATATTTGTGAAAGAATAGGTCGCTTTCAGGTGGTCAGTGAATTCAGGCGTGGTACAGTGGTAGTTTGCCACCTGTGCAATAAGTCCATCCATGAAACTTCCCTGTTATGAAATATTCCACAGTCAACTGTTCATGTATTATAACAAAGTGGAAGCAACTGGGAACAATAGCAACTCAGCCACGAAAATGACAGAGTGGGTCATCACATGCTGAAGCGCACAGTGTGCAGAAGTCTGCAACTGCTTGCAGAGTCAATAGCTAAAGACCTCCAAACTTCATGTGGTCTTCAGATTAGCACAACAGTGCGTAGAGAGCTGCATGGAATGGGTTTCCATGGCCGAACAGCTGCATCCAAGCCTTACATCACCAAGTGCAATGCAAAACGTCAAATGCAGAGGTGTAAAGCATGCTGCCTCTGGACTCTAGAGCAGCAGAGACATGTTCTCTGGAATGACTAATCATACTTCTCTGTTGGCAATCTGATGGACGTGTCTAGATTTGGCAGTTGCCAGGAGAATGGTACTTGCCTGACTGCATTGTGTAAATGTGTGGTGGAGGGGGGATTATGGTGCGGGGTTGTCTATCAGGGGTTGGGTTTGGCCCCTTCGTTCCACTGAAGGGAACTCTTACCCCACAGGCTATATCCTGCTGTCTCCCCACTCTGGGATTCCTTCCTCGATTGCTCTAAATGTTCTCGGTGAAAACCATACATGCTCTAAACGAAAAATAATGAGAAGGGCCGCTCATAGTGTAGTACTAAAAACGTATTTTTAATTATAAAAGAATGCCACTCACATTGACAGAATACATGCAAGCTCATCTGTGTTTCAGCACTGTGAAAAAATCTCTCCTTCCATTCTTGGCCACAAATCTGGTGTGGGGTTTTTTACACACTTGCATTTGTACACATTGTCAATATTGTTTGCTATTTGTATACACATACACATATCACCTACCACACAGGCTAGTAGCACTTACTGTACGTGTCTGCCAGGTTATAAACCACATGCATTTTGGGGCTATGTTTTTATTTTTCACTTGTTTACTTAATATATTATTTGTCTTTCTACACACCCACTTGTTTGGAGTTTTTACAATTGGGTTGAGTGCTTGGGAAAGTTTTTTTACTTTTCTTTTTTGTAATGGCGCTCCCTGTCTCTAGGGGGCTGGCAATGCCAGGATACTATACCAACAATGTTAAAAGGAAACTAGAGCGCCACCTGTTGGCTAGGTGGAAAACTGGTATGTAAATACAAAAGCTATTTTCTTTGTATACATGTGACTTAATCATTTATTTATTTCAGGTACTTATATAGTGCCGTCAATTTACGCAGAGCTTTACAAATATATTGTACATTCACATCAGTCCCTAACCCTCAAGGAGCGTACAATCTAAGGTCCCTAACTCACATTCATATACAAGGGCCAATTTAGACAAGGATCCAATTAACCTAATCAATCCAATATGGAGCCTGTGCTATTGACAGTAGCAGGAGACAAAAGAAATGTTACTCTTTGGATTAAACATGTGTATAGCTTATTGAAACGCATTCTATGGATTTACTTTTTCTGCTTATGGCATTTTTATTACATTTCATAAATCTGTTCCACAGGTACTGTTTGGAACTTGAAAGAAAGGATTCCTCCTCATAGCCAGGCTGACTCTATAAATGCTATAATGAGGATACTGTCAGAAATCCTCTCTCTGGATGCTGGGAAATTCATTGTGAAGATGAAGGAGGTTGAAACTCTGCGTTTAAAGACAGCCGAGTCAGAGGCAGAAGAAGTGTCAGCAAGTCTTGAAGAAAGTGCCTTAAATGAAGATGATGGTATTGCAGATGGTGTGATTAAAGGCTCCAGTCCTACAGATTTCTCTGATTTGAACCCAGTAGGTTAAACAAAATTTTTTTTCCCCTTTCAACTGCCATCATTTCTTTATAGATACAGGTGAAACTCGAAAAATTAGAATATCGTGCAAAAGTTCATTTATTTCAGTAATGCAACTTAAAAGGTGAAACTAATCTATGAGAGAGACTCATTACATGCAAAGCAAGATAGTTCAAGCCGTGATTTGTCATAATTGTGATGATTATGGCTTACAGCTCATGAAAACCCCAAATCCACAATCTCAGAAAATTAGAATATTACATGCAATCAATAAAGCAAGGATTGTACATAGAACAGTATCGGACCTCTGAAAAGTATAAGCATGCAAATGTACTCAGTACTTGGTTTGGGCCCCTTTTGCAGCAATTACTGCCTCAATGCGGCATGGTATGGAAGCTATCAGCCTGTGGCACTGCTGAGGTGTTATGGAAGACCAGGATGCTTCAATAGCGGCCTTCAGCTCTTCTGCATTGTTCGGTCTCATGTCTCTCATCTTTCTCTTGGTAATGCCACATAGATTTTCTATGGGGTTCAGGTCAGGCGAATTTGCTGGCCAATCAAGCACAGTAATCCCACAGTCATTGAACCAGGTGTTGGTGCTTTTGGCAGTGTGGGCAGGTGCCAAGTCCTGCTGGAAATGAAGTCCGCATCCCCATAAAGCTCGTCTGCAGAAGGAAACATGAAGTGCTCCAAAATCTCCGGGTAGACGGCTGTGTTGACCCTGGACTTAATGAAGCACAGTGGACCAACACCAGCAGATGACATGGCTCCCCAAATCAACACAGACTGGAAACTTCACACTGGACTTCAAGCATCTTGCAGTGTGTGTCTCTCCATTCTTCCTCCATACTCTGGGTCCTTGGTTTCCAAATGAGATGCAAAAGTTGCTCTCATCAGAAAAGAGGACTTTGGAACACTGAGCAACAGACCAGGTCTGTTTTTCTTTAGCCCAGGTAAGACGCTTCTGACGTTGTTTGTTGTTCAGGAGTGGCTTGACAAGAGGTATATGGCACTTGAAGCCCCTGTCTAGGATCCGTCTGTGTGTGGTGGCTCTTGATGCACTGACTCTAGCCTCAGTCCACGCCTTGTGAAAGTCCCCAACACTTTTGGCCTTTTCCTGACAATCCTCTCCAGGCTGCAGTCATCAATGCTGCTTGTGCACCTTTTTCTTCCACACATTTCCCTTCCACATAACTTTCTATTAATGTGCTTTGATACAGCACTTTGAGAACATCCAACTTCTTTTACAATTACCTTTTGAGGCTTTCCCTCCTTATGGAGGGTGTCAATGATGGTTTTCTGCACAACTGTGAAGTCAGCAGTCTTTACCATGATTGTGATTCCTACTGAACTAGACTGATAGTCCATTTAAAGGCTCAGGAACCCTTTGCAGGTGTTATGGCTTAATTAGCTGATTAGAGTGGGACACTTTGAGCCTAGAATATTGCACCTTTTCACAATATTCTCATTTTCTGAGATTGTGGATTTGGGGTTTTCATGAGATTGTGGATTTGGGGTTTTCATAATCATCCCTATTATGACAAATCACAGCTTGAACTATCTTGCTTTGCATGTAATGAGTCTATCTAATATATTAGTTTCACCTTTTAAGTTGCATCACTGAAATAAATAAACTGTTGCACAATATTCTAATATTTCGAGCTTCACCTGTAAAATCCAGGTACGTGACCTGTTTAGACAAACCTTGAACATTGGCTTTTTTCTCTGCAGTCCAAATTTTGTATGGACTCATGCAGCATTTCTTCTTTACATCTACTGACCTAACTTTGCAGGTTCTAATTTCAAAACTTAAATCTTAAATCTTACCGGCTTTGCAGTGACAAAATACAGGTGTAACAGCTATTTGAAATCAAGTCAACTTCGTGACTGCTGCTAAAATAGAAGATAGAAATATTCAACCCCAATTCCAAAAAAGTTGGTACTTGTAAAATCTACATTAAAACAGAGTGCAATGATATGCAAATCTCATAAACTCATAGTTTATTCACAGTAGAAAATAGAAAACATCAAATGTATAAAGTGAGAAAATGTACCATTTTAAGAAAAAAATAAGGTCATTTTGAAATCGATGGCAGCAACATGTCTCAAAAAAAGGTTGGGACAGGGGCAGGCAACAAAAAGCTGGCATAGTAAGTGGTGCTAACATGGAAGAGCTGAAAGAACATTTTTCAACTAGTTAATTTGGCAACAGGTCAGTAACATGATTATATATAAAAATAGCGTCTCAAGTAAAGATTAACATGGTTTACCACAAGCAGTGCAAATAATTGTATTCTGTTTTTTTGTAGATTTGTAGTAATGTTCCCTGTTAAGGGGATTATGTTACATGTGATTTTACCTTTTTTTGTTAAATCAGATTTCCAGGCAAATTTTTAAAGTCCTTCATTGACTTAAAAAGTTAAAATCTGTATCACAAGGAAATGTCTTTCTGTTCATTTTAGGTAATTTACTTAGCTGGACTACAGGCATACTGTTAAATGCACATATGAAATACAAATTGGAGTTGTTTACCTGCTAAGTGTTGCTCTCTCCTCCTATTAGTTAGCACATTACATTTATTGATGTATTAATGAATACAGAATGGCATTCATTTGTGTATTTTAAACCTGCCTGGAGTTGAGCTTTAAAGCTCAACTCCGGTAGGCCCTCATTTTCCTCACTTACAATGCAAGACTGATGGTCCTCTATTGCATGTGATGACATCACAGCTGCGACCACCGGAAAGGGGGCTGTTGAGAAGAGACTGAAGAAATGGTCAAGTGGAAGGAGGAGCCTGCTTGAGTGAGGATAAGTAAATGTACTGGTATCTTAGGCAGAAATGAGGATTTAACATTTACAGTGTGGGATGAGCCCCACTGCAAGGTTTTTTTTAATTTTTATTGCAAAGTAGAGGCTTTTCAATTTTTGACTTTTTTGATGTTGATGACTGAATTGTCTACATACCCGTTTGTTTTGTGCATTTGTGTCATTCATGTTTTAATCACGTGACGGCCAATGATGCTTTCAAACCACCCCCCTCCCCTTGCTCAGAACTCCCATCCTTAAAATGACTTTCTGCACAATTGTAGTACCAGTGTGGTTAAATTGAAAAAAGTGTGAATTCAGAATCTGTAGCGGTACACACAAAACAATGCTCATTGGATTGGAGAAATATACCCCACTGCACAGTCTATTACACGAGGTAGCCAATAGTAACTGTGTGTTCATTTTTATTAACTTTGTTCAAGGTATCAAATGAAGAGCTCAAGCAAGCATCCTGTTTATTGGTGGCTCAGAAATCTGCACTGGAAATGATTGTTAACTTGTGCTGCAGTGATGGTTTGTACATTTCTAAACAATATATTTTTTAGCTTTTCAAATGATTGATTTATCCAGAACTGATATCTGCTGCAACACTGTACAAATTAAGCCATGGTTGTTATGGTCTTCCCGTCAGCAGGGATGGAAACCATTTCATAATGATGCCTTGATGTCTAAAATTAATTCACTTTTAGCACTTGTCTTTTTATTGCTTTAGGGCTTGTTTACACCGTGTGCAGTCAAACACGCTTTAAATGCAGTGTGAATGCATATGCAAGAAACATGAAAGTATTTCAATAAGTCTAGTTTTTACCCCATTGTGGTGATTTCATGTGCATTAAATAAAAAATAAAAATAAAGCCTGTTTCATCTTTTTGCACCGGAATGCACTTGAACGGAATGCAACCACATGTAAATGCACCTCATTATTAACCACTTGCCCTCCAGAGGATTTACCTCCCTTCCTGACCAGGCCATTTTTCACTACACGGCGCTGCGTTACTTTAACTGCCAATTGCGTGGTCATGCAACACTGCACCTAAATGAAATTTATGTCCTTTTTTCCCATAAATAGAGCTTTCTTTCGGTGGTATTTGATCACCTGTGCGGTTTTTATTTTTTGCACTATAAAGACCTACAATTTTGAGAAAAAAAAACAATATTTTTGACTGTTTGCTATTAAACATGTCCAGTAAAATCCCAATACATGTACTTTAACTGGTTTATGTGAAAGTTATAATGTCTAAAAATGTGTGTGTGTGTGTGTGTGTGTGTGTGTGTGTATATCAGCAACTTATTGCGGGACTGCGCGCGGGCATTCTGACACTGGGGTGAACTAACTGTCAGTGCATTTTATTAGCACTGATCACTGTATTAGTGTCACTGACACTGTACTAATGGCACCGGGCAGGAAGGGGTTAACATCTGGGGCAAACAAAGGGTTAACAGTGTGCTGTTTTACTGTGTGCGTTTCACTGTGTCAGCACATTGCTTTGTATTGCTCTGCTATGCAGAGCAATACAAGCAATGTGCAGGAGCTGACAGGAGAGAGATCTGTTTTGTTTACATAAATATCGTCAGTGATACTCGGCGATTGCCGGATGCCAGTGGGGAATCACCGGTTGAGACCCGGTGATTGACAACTGAGGCCGCCAGTGGCAGCGAGGGTAGGGTGTGCGCATGCCCCTACCCGAAACTGAAAAATCATGTGTATATATACGTGATCTAATATCTATCTATATCTAATATATATATATATATATATATATATATATCCGTATTTCTGCTATAGGGCGGCAGGAAAGCGGTTAAAAAAAGAAAATGCCTAAACACACTGCAAATGTATGTAGACACACATGCGGGCATGCAGAACCACACACTAAATGGAGAGATTGTGATTTACATCCCCACAAGGAGGATCTTCACCCCAAATTTGTGTGCACATGTTTTTATTTATTCTTTTTTAATGCCCTCTTACCTTGCTTATTAGGTTATTCTCAAAACAAACCTGTTCAGTTACTACAGGGTTGCCCTGTTGCAGTCTGATGCCACTTACCTGGTTTCATGCTGCTCTTTTCTGTACCTATGTCATCAGGGGGTTGGCTGTTGGGTTCTTGCAGCAGCACATGCGCTTTAGAGTACGCCAATGCCATCTGGGAAGCGTGACATCTATAATGCAGTAAATTGTGGGCAACCGGACTGCCAGTCTCCCCTAGGTGAGAATTCTAGTAGTGCTAGGAGGGGTCCAAAAAAAAAGTATTAGGGAAAATTAATGTGAAGTTTGGCTAGAGAAGGGGAGGTAACAGTGCAATGATGGAAAGTGCATGAGGAATGTCTGCTTTAACTTCAGTTCAAGAATCGTTGGCCATTTTTGTGTTTGACTAGAAATAATCTTTGTAATTGCTTGTGTTTTTCAAGTAGTTGTGATTGGGACTTGCTACTTTTTTTTCCATTGTTTGCTTTTTGTTTTTACCTATTGCAATAAATTGATTAAATAATCATTTGTATCCCCAGAACCATCTGATGATGAATGGGAAGAGCTCTCTAGCAGCGATGAGAGTGAATTTAGCTTAGAGAAGTCTGTGGCTGATGGAGGCCAGCTTCTTACTCCACTGTGCTTGTCTGCTGAAGTTCACTCAGCTCTCCTTGATCTCTTCATCCCAAAAAAGGTACAGATCAACATGGCATGTTTTTCATTTGTGGCCATATGATGTAGTATACTGTGTGGGCAAAATAAAAATCGTATCACTATTTATTTAGGGCACAGAAATTAATTTAGTGGAACTACAGTCAGACTGCAAATTATACAGTTAAAGTGTAAATTTACATTTTCACAAATAACACACTACATCTCCCCCCACTCCCCTGTCCCTGCTGCATTCGCCTCAATGGTTGCAGTGGTTGGGGGATTTTAATTTTCTTCTGTGACAAGTCAAAGTGAATCCAATTGGTCAAAGTGGTCACATGCCAGCACATGAGAAATAAGAGCCACTCTGATCTGTCCCAGAAGCCCTAAGGAAAGAAGGGGAAGAAGAGTGAGCCTTCAAATCCCTGGAATGATGCACCGGTTACGTGGGCAGTAACTGCTAATCACCCAAATGCAGCAGGGACCAGGGTTGTGGGGGCAGCGCACTTTTAAATACATATGCATGAACCATTTTACCTTCCAGAGGATTGTTCATTTTCAGCCAGTCTTATAATGCAGGCTTCTGTGGCAGCTTAATTTCTGGGGAAATCACAGAGAGCTCTGCTTATTTATTTTTTCTTAAAAATGTACCTATGACAGCAATTTGTAATATATTAAGATGGCAATGGAGGAATAAATCCTACACTGAAGATCACTGTCGGCATCACGAAGATTTCTATAGAAAAAGTATAATTTTTAAAGTTGTAGTCTGAGGAGTTTTATCAGTTGAAAAAGCCAGTCAGAGAATAGTCTCATCTACTGCACAATGCATATTGTTGACAAGGTTATAACAAGGTGTGTGTGTTATAATAGAAATGTTTTTGCTGTGAGTGCAGAAAGGGAGCACATTGAGGCTCGCCACACCACACACAGCACCTGATGGTTTTAACAACCAGTAGGACAAATAAGGGCCAGGATGGAGGGCACAAATATAATAGCATGGGTCAGAGTTCCAGCATTTAACAAAATCACAATCCAAGTGTACCAACTGTTATTCTGACGCTAGCAACAATCGCACTCCATGTCAGCGTAACACTAGAAGTCGCAGCAATCTCCGTATCCACATAACAGCCACACTCCCAGTGTGGAACTACAGGTCCCAGTGTCCAAATGGCAGCTCCCAGACAATGAGGAACTGCAAGTCTCAGCAGTCCCTATTGCAGCATACACAAGTGCAGAACTATGTCCCAGCATCTCCTTCTGGACTCCCTCTAGTGAGACCTTACAGTCATTAGTTCCTCTCTGTCTGACACAGAAGCAAACTCTGACTGCTTTCTCTGAGCACAGGGATGTTGTATTGAATCTGGAGTTCAGCAATCAGAGACCGGAGCCCAGATTTCTGGTGCTGAGGTGTCTGGCTATATCAGGGTATTCTAAATCCTGTTCTCCCTGCTGTGTTTCCAGATCCTGTGTTAGCGCAGGACCCCATTGGTCATTGATGCAGATCAGCTGACTGATTTACACATGGACTAATTGTTCATGTAACAAATCGCAAATAGTGGCCCCACTGGACTGGGCTTTTTTCCGTGGAGCCACTAATTTGCCTACCTGCCTTTGTGCTGGGAGCGCGCCACATGGCATGCTTTCAGCACAAAGATCAGGGTGTCACTGAGTGCCCTGCGTTCTGTTCTAATGACAAATGTTGATCAAACAATCAACTTTTGTCGATTAGAGTGATGCCCGCAAGACCATACACTGCTATAACTTTGGCTGAAATGTGAACATTGTATGGGCAACGTAAGCAACAAGCTTGCAGTAACCTCTTCTTTTTTGCAAAATTTTAAAAGTTCCTAAGAAGAGTGTGTTTATAGTACCATTGGAATAGAAACAAGAGGAACAAAAAGGAACGAAGGGTTGTTAGAGTATTATATTGTAGTTCTAGAAGAGAGGGAAGGGGTGGTTACTAAGCTGGAGTTCCACTTTTATGTTGCAGTTTATTGATTTTTTTTTTTTTTTTTTTTTATTTCACTGTAGGTATTTGATAAGACTTGGTTCCCTGATGGTAACGCATTGCAGATTTGTACACAGAATGCAACATGGAAGCCGTTAATTACAAAGTATTTTCTTCGTTGTCGTGCTTTATTTCTGGCTTCATATAAGAGTGATTACAACTGGTGCTAACACTACATTTATTTTTTTTGCTGTGTTACAGGATGTACAGTGTGCAGTGCAGGGCACTGACTTGTTTACATAATGTTTTGTCAGCATTGGACATTGAGAGTCTAGGCGGAGCCTCCGCATTACAGGAACTTTCTCAGCACCTTTCACAATTAGTCTTCACACAATTGGGTAGGTATTTTGAATTGGAGTGCAAAAGTCTGCCTTTTTGTCTCTGCCCATAACCTGCCCAATAGCAGCATTTTTCTGCTGTTTCTTCAGGGGTGCCTTGGAAAATGTTTAAAAATTGGCCAAACATTGTATAAAGGCAGCTGGGTGGATCAAGACTATCTTTTTAGTCTGCATTTACACCGGCGATTAGGGCCAGTGCAAATTGTAGTGGCAGGAATCAGATTCCTGCTGTGGGTCTCTGCAGGTAGGTGCGACCGACGTCCCTGTTCACTGTAAGGACAGGTTGCCAGCAGCTGCAGCTATTCAAGGCTCTCTTCACAGCCAACGATTACCTGCAATGATTGCTGTTGGACGCACTTTGTGTGCATCCAGCAGCAATTGCCGCAGGTAATTGCAGTCTGTGCAGACACCCACAAATAGTTTCAACCTATCACAGTGACATGGGGCCAGCAGCCTCAGCAGGGATATGATTCCTGTGGCAACGGTTCGTATCAGCCTTAATTGCCAGTGTAGACTTAGTTGCAAAAAGCCACAGGTTTTCATTGTGCACCATTACAGTCTTCCAGCCATCTGTGTCCTAACAGCCTCAGGATTTTGCATGATTTTAAAGGATACCTTGGCTGAGAACAGGTTGAGAAACTTTGGTTTAGAATCTTTCTTGTCTAAAACGTGCACAATTGACTTTTGAACCCAGCAAAAAAGCAACACGTTTCTTAAACTAAAGCGGAGTTCCAGCTGGAAAAAAAATAAATAAAAGTCAGCAGCTACAAAAACTGTAGCCGCTGACTTTTAAAATACAGTCATTTACCTGTCCCTCAGTCCAGTGGTGTCCTCACCACGGCTGGTTTCACTGGCCATCTTCTCTCCCTGGCACCGGAATCTTCAGTGTGGGCACCCAGCTGTGACAGCTTGCGGCTTCACAGCCTGGTGCCTGCTGCGCATGCGCGAGAAGTGCTGTGTTTTTTGAATGGCCCCGTAGTCTTCTGGGACCTGTCACGTGTCCCAGAAGACTATAGGGAGGGAGGACAACTTCAGCTTCCGATCGTTTTAGGCGATCGCAGCAGAAGTGGGAGCGAGTACCCAGTCAAATTCGGATACCCGCTCCCCAAAGGTGCCAATCCTTAATGGGGACAAAGACTTAAAGCGGAACTTCACCTTTTGGGTGGAGCTCTACTTTAATTGTTTTTTATTTGCGTTATATCAACCATATAAAATATAAAAACCAATTTTTGTTATTGTAAACATTGCTTCTAGTTGCACATTCAGTATCGCAGTGAGCAGACTGCCAAAACCTTAATTACACCCAAAAACAGAAATAATATTTATTTGAACCTAACATTCCTTAGTTGTGGTGGATGTCTTTTTTTAGGTCTTTTTATTTTTATTTACACCTGAAAATCTAGCATGTAACACTCTTTCTGTCTTATGATGTCTCCACTGCACTAGAGGAGCAATAGGGACACCTTTGCACTGCAGCGCTGTCAACTGTGGAGAGGGTAAGGTTAGACTCTCCAGCAGATTTAGATGGACCTGGCTAACTAACGCCGAAATCCTGCTAACACTTTTTAGGAAGAACAGAAAGTTTAGTTTTTTGTTTTTTTTTTTGCTTTTGGATTCAAGTTTTTAGATAACTAAATTTATAACATATGTCTATATGTCTATATATGTATATGGTTTGTTTCAACCCTTTAACAGCCACTTTTTCTGGACAGCTTGGTCTCTTAAAGGAAATTTAAGATCACCAGGTGAAAATAAAATTACACTAAAAAAAAAAAGAAAAATGCAGCCACCGCATGTGAGAGTTAGTAAGCTGCAATATAATACATTTTTGTTTTTGGGTTTAATAACAATTAAAGCATTAGCCAAACTTAGCAAGCGTATAGATGTGGTAAAGTAGAGTGTACTAAAATGCATACATCCTAATGAATGAATGAGCAGTGTGTTTTTCTGTGTTGTGTAGAAGAGCAAATCTGTGCACTTTTTTTTTTTTTTTTTTCTTACAGGACACGTTCACTAATAAAACATGCACATCATAAGTTTCATAGACACTTGCCAAAATCTGGGTTTATTTGTCAGTACTTATAGTTCAAAAACTAGCAAGCAAAATGAAAGATGTAAATGTGTTTTAATGCAGTCATAAAGCATTCAAGTTATGTATTTTCTGCAGATAAAGGGGTTCTTTTTTTTTTTTTCATTTCTGAAACCATGGAACCTGTTTGAGTGCCTTCATCACATTGTACAACCATAGAACAGCTGGACAAAGCTGTACACATGCCATAGCCATGATGCTTTGCTTCACAGTCGTAGTAGTTTTTAACACTGGGTGCACAGTTTGACAGGCAGAAACCCCTGTCAAACTCGCCAATAGATTTCAGTGGGGCTGCACCACAACCGTGAGCCAAATGCTCTGCTCAAAGTTGCGGCGTGGTCTTGCAATGGAAAATTGCCATTCGGCAAATTAAAAAAAAAAAGCATTCAGGAAACAAGAGTAACACCACCCCAGTGCCTGTCAGCTGTTGCTATACTGTTCTCTAAACAGTGATCCACTACAGATTAGATTTCAGAGGGCAGTAGGCAGTACTACAGCACTACATTCTTAGTGAAGAAACTTTTCTAATAGTCTCTGGCAATGAGCGGTCTTGCTTGCAAGTTACCAGTACCTATAAGCTTTAGAGCACTGTTTTTCCTAGCGATAAATATAAAAGTCTTGCTTTTGTGCATAGACCTACATACGTCTCTTAGCAGGTGTCTGCACTAATCTTATTACAATCACAAACCTTTTCTAGTCAGGGTATTGAGCAGACTGCAGCCAACGGAGGTGTTTGCATTCTGTAGAATAAAGGATTGAGGAACAACTCTCTATTTTCATGATAATACTGTAGGAGAGGATCCCTCAACTATGATAAGTTGCGGAATTGTTTGACTTCTGTCAATTTCAATCCGCTTTATTTTTGATGGCTAGCTCTTTAACTGGCATCATTACTGGAAATAGTTCTGTATTGAAATGTGTTTTTAATGTGTACCTACATTCCACTAGGAAGAGTAAACAGCTCAGAGAAAAAAAAAAGAAAAAGAAAAGATAAATACTTCAAGGTCATACCATTATGTACAGCTGCTCCAGCACCCTTGAGTCTCAAGCTCTGCAAGACCGCGTTAGTGTTGTGTAACATCAGTGTACCTCTAGGCTGTACCTTTCTTAAGTTTTTGATAGTGGGGAAGATTTGGACTGTCAGGTTTTTATTTCTGTCCGTGTCCCATTGGGGAGCTTTATCCCTCTATTTGCACTGGTGCCCATTGTTGCTGAGAAAGTGAACAGAAATTCTAAATTTTAGAGGTACCCCCAGGCAAGAGGTAAGGCAAGAACTTCCAAGGAGGGCACCTATTCAGGGAGAACTGATGGCAATTTTGCTCACTTTGGGAAATTTTCTTTAACCACTTGCCTACCAGGCACTTATACCCCCTTATTTACCAGGCCAATTTTCAGCTTTCAGCGCTGCCGCACTTTGATTGACAATTGCGCGGTCATGCAACATTATACCCATATGAAATTTTGATCATTTTTTTCTCACAAATAGAGCTTTCTTTTGGTGGTATTTAATCGCCACTGGGCGCTTTACTTTTTGCGCTATAAATAAAAAAAAATTGCCAAAAATTTGAAAAAAAAAAAAAAAAAGTTTCTTTGTTTCTATTATAGAATTTTTCAAACAGGTAAATTTTCTCCTTCACTGATGTGCGTTGATGAGGCAGCACTGATGGACACTGATAGGCGGCACTGATGGGCACTGATAGGCAGCACTAAAGGGCACTGATAGGCAGTACTAATGAGGTGTCACGGATAGGCGGCACTAATAGCACTGCAGCACTGATAGGCAGCAGCTGATAGGTGACACTGATGATGGGTACTGATAGACGGCACTGACTGGCATCACTGCTGGGCACTGACTGGCGGCACTGACTGGCACAACCGCTGGGCACTGATTGGTGGCACTGGTGGGTGGCACTGGTGGGCAGCACTGGTGGGTGGCACTGGTGGGTGGCACTGGTGGGCACAGGTGGGTGGCACTGGTGGGCACAGGTAGGGTGGCACTTCTGGGCACAGGTGTGTGACATTGCAGAGTGGCACAGGTGGGTGCACTGCTGGGCACAGGTGGGTGCACTGCTGGACACAGGTGGGTGATCTGCTGGGCACAGGTGGGCGGAGCTAGTGGGTGCACTGCTGGGCACAGGTGGGCGGAACTTGCGGGTGGCACTGCTGGGCACCGATCATCAGGGCACTGATCATCGGTGCCCTGATGATCGGTGCCGATCCCCGCTCTGACAACTGCCGGTTCTCGGCAGTACTTTCCTCACGATCTGACAGCATGAGGAAAGTGCAGCCGAGAACTGGCACTTGCATTTCCCTCTGATCAGCGTGTCATTGGACACCGCTGATCAGGTGGTAAAAGGCCGCTGTGATTGGCCTTTTACCACATCACGTGATCAGCTGTGTCCGTAGGACACAGCGATCACGGAGATCGCCGGGTGCGCGCCCCCTGGGGCGCGCAGGAGAGCGCGTTCTGGGGGGACGTCATATGACGTCCACTCAGAACTGGCCGGCCGCAGTGCAGCCGTCATTCGGCTATCTGCGGTCGGCAACAAGTTAATGTTCTATTGTGTTTATGCAACAGGAAAGAAGGGGAAATTTTCCCAATGATACGCAATCAGTAAAATGTAAACTTGGGGAGAAGGGATAATTGAGTTGAACAAACATTTCATACTTACCTGCTCTTATCGGGTCCCCCACCAGCGTTCCAAGCCCTCCCCCCTGCTGAGTGCTACAAGAGCAAGCTGCTTGCTCTGGGGGCACTCGCTCCAAAACCACCTCTGTATATCTATAAGACACTCAGAGCACTGCTCAGCCCCGCACACTCCGCACTGGCTGTGATTGACAACAGCGGCAGCCAATGAGGAGGGAGAGACCTAGGAGAGCCGCTGCTTTCATGCACATCGCTGGATCAAGATTGGGCTCAGGTAAGTATTAGGTGGGCTGAGTGGGAGCTATATACTGAAGGGTTTTTTTTTCCTTCATTATTCTTTAGATCCACTTAAAAGAAAAAAACGTTTGTCTATAAATACTGTAAATGGACAAATATAGACTTCCAAAAAAGGGTACATGGGTACATGTTGCTTATCTACAGGAGATGTTGACACTATTGTATGGTAGTTGTATTCTGTGTGCATAGGGAATGAATGTGGCAGACAAATCTTTGATGAATAACCTATTTGTTTTTAGTTCCCATTATTGGTCATTATAACTTTGGTAATCATGTGAAAGTACCCTACACAGATGATAGTTTTTTCCAAAGCTGGGTTCCTTTTGAGTATATTTCCTATGGTAATAACCCCAACCCTGCTAGTGTGTGTAGACAAATTTTCTTTGCATCTTACTTTTTCTACACATTTCACTTGTGTTTGAGATCGATTTAAGACACTTCTGAAAAATTTAAATTCAAAGAAGCCCCTTAATGGTAAATTACTTTAGAACCAAAAACTCTCCATAAGACAAGAATTAACTTATGACACACATAACAAACCCTATAGAATCTTATACACAGATCAGCCATAACATTATGGCCATCCACTATAACCTGTCGATGCATGGACTCTATTAGACCCCTGGAGGTATCTGGCATCAAGCCATCAGTACTAGATACAGTGCCTTGAAAAAGTATTCATACCCCTTGACATTTTCCACATTTTGTCATGCTACAACCAAAAACATGAATGTATTATATTGGGATTTTATGTGATAGACCAACACAAAGTGGCACATAATTGTGATGTGGAAGGAAGATGATAAATGGTTTTCAAAATATTTTACAAATAAATATCTGAAAAGTGTGGCGTGCATTTGTATTTAGCCCCCCTGAGTCATTACTTTTATAGAACCACCTTTCTCTGCAATTACAGCTGTGAGTCTTTTTGGGTATATCTCTACCAACTTTCCACATCTAGAGAGTTACATTTTTGCCCATTCATCTTTGAAAAATAGCTCAAGCTCTGCCACAATGGATGGAGAGCATCTGTGAACAGCAATTTTCCAGTCTTGCCACAGATTCTCAATTGGATTTAGGTCTGGACTTTGACTGGGCCATTCTAGCACACTAATGTGATTTGATCTAAACCATTCCATTGTAGCTCTGGCTGTATGTTTAGCATTGTTGTCCTGCTGGAAGGTGAACCTCCGCCACAGTCTCAAGTCTTTTGCAGACTCTAACAGGTTTGCTTTGTATTTGGCTCCAACCATCTTCCCATCAACTCTAAGCAGCTTCCATGTCCCTACTGAAGAAAAGCATTCTCACACCGTGGTGATGCTGCTGCCACCATGTTTCACAGTGGAGATGGCGTGTTCAGGGTGATGTGCAGTGTTAGTTTTCTGCCACACATAGCTTTTTGTTTTTAGGCCAAAGTTAAATTTTGGTCTCATCCGACCAGAGCACCTTCTTCCGTTTGCAAACTGCAAACGGGACTTCTTATGGATTTTTATCAACAATGGCTTTCTTCTTGTCACTCTTCCATAAAGGCCAGATTTGTGGAGTGCACGACTAATCGTTGTCCTGTGGACAGTTTCTCTCACCTGAGCTGTTGATCAAGCAGCTCCTCCTCTGATTAATGCTCTTCTTGTCCAGCCTGTCAGTTTAGGTGGACGGCCATGTCTCGGTAGGTTTGCAGTTGTGTTAGGAGTATCAGAGTAAAGGGGGCTGAATACAAATGACACCGCACAGATATATTTATTTGTAAAAAAATTTTGAAAACCATTTATCATTTTCCTTCCACTTCACAATTATGTGCCAGTTTGTGTTAGTCTATCACATAAAATCCCAATAAAATACATTTACGTTTTTGGTTGTAACATGACAAAATGTGGAAAATTCCAAGGGGAATGAAGTCCTGTGGGTTCTAAGGTTGGACCTCTAGAGATTGGACTTGCTTTTCCAGCACATACCACAGATGATAGATTGTATCGAGATCTGGAGTATTTGGGGGCCAAGTCAACACCTTGAACCTCGTGTTCTTCAAACCATTTTTGGAGTTCATCAGAACAGGCCACGTTCTTTTATTGCTCTGTGGTCCAGTTCTGATGCTCATGTGGCAATTGTAGGCTTTTTTGGTTGTGGATACAGGTCATCATAGGCACCCTGACTGGTCTGCAGTTACACAGCCTCATACGCAACAAACTACGTAGCACAGTGTGTTCTGAACTTTCAGATCCAGCATGAACTTTTTCAGCAATTTGCATTAATGTAGCTCTTCTGTTAGATTGGACAACATGGGCTAGCCTTTGCTCCCCGCTTGCATCAGGACGCTTTGGCTGCTCATAACCCTGTCACCGGTTCACTGGTTTTTCTTCCTTGGACCACTTTTGGTAGGTCCTGACTACTGCAGACCATGAACATCCCAAAAGAGCTTCAGTTTTGTAGATGTTCTGTGCCAGTCGTCTAACCACTACAATTTGGATCTTGTTAAAGTTGCTCAAATCATTTTTTTTTTCTGTCTTCAACACACCTTCATAACTTCAGGGACATGTTCACTTGCTACCTAAAAATATCCCACCGACTTTTCAGGTGCCGTTATCATGAGATCCATGTTGTTCACCTTACCTGTGAGTGGTCATAATGTTGTGGCTGATCAGTGTATGTACTGTACAGTACATTATGGTGATGTTTCAGGACAATATTCTATAAAGTTAGTGATTGGTAAGATAAAAAGCTTCCATGTTTAAATTCTTTTTGTATGTATTTTTATTAACATGACTTGATGACTGTGTGTGTGTATGTGTGTATATGTATGATCTGTGTGTTGTTGGATGTACAGTCCCTGTCTTATGGCGAGTTTTCTGTGTCTGAGATGCTTCAGAGATTTATGGGTGCATTTGACCTACAGCTGATCTTCTTCCAACCTACATTTGCCCTTCTTTGAAGTTGCATTTACCTGCTTCAGGTTGCTTTGCTTCCTCTTGGCTTGTGTGGGAGAGAAGCTGTTCTGGCACAAACAAGAGCTCATATACACTGCCCTACAGAAAGCACAACTGAGTTGCTTAGTACTTCAACCTTGCATCCATTCATTGATGTATTGCACCTGTCCACCCTTTTTCATCCTTCCCACAATGGAAATATTGGGTAGCGCATAAGTTATTTAGGCTCACTGCTTGCTGAACAAATTAACGAACAGCGGTATGTTTTGGCACTTTGTAGTGTCAGACGTATATGCAAATGTTTGTTTTTCAGTGTAGTCATACTTTAATTTTTCCTGGGTTTGTATGACATTTTTTTTTTTTCTCCCAGAAGTTTTGAGTAGCTACCGCCGTAAAAAATTGAGTTAATCACAAACTAAACTAAACTTTAGAGAGCTACAGAAACATTCAAATATGTATTGCTGCATCATTTTTTTTCTGGAATGTATTTATTTTAGATTTTCTTCAGCCATAGTCTGCTTCTTTGTCCCAATAAGAACAAGTGCATAAAATATGTAAAATGTGTAACCTCAAAAGGAAACAAGGAGAGAAAAGCAAAGTAGACATTTGACATCACCAGCCAAGGGCATGTCAAGTATCTGTCACTGGCTAAAAACATGATGGCAAACATATGATTGGTTGTAATGTGACTTTTGCATTTTCCTTTGTGTGTGTGTTTTTGTTTTTTTTTGTTTTTTTAACTATGGACCCTTTTGTCTTTTATTCCTCCTTATGTGTAAAAAGTACAGGAAAGTAAAAATGCATTGCTCAGTACACTATAGCAGTATGGCCATATTGGTCCTGATGTCTCCTTTCTTTGTTGATCACTGAGGAACACTGAAAGTCTCACCTTTGCGTTGTATTGCCACCTACAGAAGGATTGGACTCCCTAAAAAAAAAACCCTATAGGCCAGCCCAGGATGACCCCTCCTACTATCAGCATGTCTCAGTTTTTTTTTTTTCCTTTTTTTTAGTGTCCTGGGAGGATGGACGTCTTTTCTTCAGCTCTTCTGTGTAAAAGACCAACCTATTTTTTGCTATCACCATTTTTTCCAGTCAAGACTCCTTTCTGAGGCCTTGCCTTGTATTGTTGCCTTACTGACACATGGTCGCAACATTGCCCATGCTCAAAGTTCTTTTAAAAGAAAGCTTTGGGTTGGACTGCTATAGGCTTCTGGTCTCATCTCCCACATAGGTCTCCTGTCAATAAATGTGCAGGGGACGCTTTTTTTGTTAAAGTGCTAGACTGTGGAATCCATCATCTAAGTCTCTAGCTCTCTGATCTCAGATTCAAAATAATACCAAAGGGCATCCACTTAAGTGTAGCATTAAAAAGACTTTAATGATGGAAAGGAAATAAACAACTCACAAAAGTAGCAGAATGTGGTATCTGTCATAAACACAACCTGGTACAGATACCATGTGTACAGATGGTAAAGCACTCCATTCCAGCATATGCCTCATCACCACTGGCCAGGTGGAATAAACCAGGAAGTAGGTTCCAAACCGGGGACTGGGAAGTCAAAGATCTCGGTGGAGTGTAAGGCTGGACTGGAAGTGACCACATAATTCACTGGAATGCAAAAGGGGTCATGGGTATGTGTTTGAGTCTCCTAGGCTCCTTTTTCAAACCTATGGAACCTATTGTGAGGGGGGGCTTTTGTAAACAGCCAGGACTACATTTCTCAGCATTCAGAAGGTGACAAAGGAACTACTACTGGGAGTGGATTTATAGCAAGTAGTTACATGGAAGGCAACTACAAATATCTACTAAAATAGGAACATTCTAGTAATAAGTAATTTAAAAAAACAATCCGTGTAAGAATGCAAGTATAAATGAAATGAAAATTCGTATACAAAATGTGTAGTTGCTCCTTGTGATTGCTTTCAAGATAATGATTTCAAAAACAACTATACAGATTTACCAACTGCCAACAAGGTTAAAAATAATGAAATTAATAAAAAAAAATTAAAACTTTATTTCTATTAATTTGGTTATATTAACTAAATTTCTGCTCTTACCCATGATGTGAAATTCCTAGTTTCCATCATATATGAGAGGCAAATATCTCAACAGGCTGCCTTATGCTGCATTTAACCCTTCTCTGATTTTGCATATGAACAGTTGTGTTGAGTCCTAGGACTTCCTTCTTATCTAAGGTAGTTTCTGCCTTTCTCCTAAACCCAAGGCTTAATTCTTCCATCATTTTTTCTACTCTAGTTCACACAAAGGATATTTCCCTCCATTGTTTGGATGTGGTTCAGGCTGTGAATGTCTGCTTCTCAGCCACTGCGTCTTTCAGGAAGACGGATTCAGTTCTTGTTATTCTGAAGAGTGGAACAAGATCTCGATCCACCATTTGTAGGTGGCCAAGGCAGACCTTGATCCAAGCCTATGATTGTATGGATTAAGTTTAAGCCTTTCCTGTCAAGGTTCACTCTGCTAGCTTCTCTGAGCACTTCCTGGGCCACATCAAGCAACTATTTCTCAGATTTGCAGGGCTGCCACCTCCATCCTCTATTCACACTTTCCAAGATGGAAATTTGTGCCTCAGCTGATACCAACTTTGGGGTGTAAAGTCCTTTGGGTGACTGAGCTACTTCTCATCATTTTTTGGGGGCCTTTTGGTTTTTTTGTTTGCTGTGTTTCCCACCCCTCAGGTGGACTGCTTTTGGACTTCTCAGAGGTGAAAGATTTCCCGTTACCTCAATGTACAAGGAAGAAAATAGGATTTTTGTACTTTTAAATCTCCATTGAGGGACACAGGTCCCATCTCTGATTATGAACATGCTCCTGTTACTACTTTGCTACTAAATTGAGGCATAATGGTAGTAGAAGGGGTTTATCCAGGACTAGCCTACCATTTTTGTTTTGCCAGTGTCAAATCCTAGGTGGCATTTTAACCCAAAGGTGTTCCTCAATAGACTTTATGAAAAGGATTTTACAGGGAATACAAAAATCCTTTTTTTTTTTTTCTATTATATTTTTAGGTTTTATTTGGGTTTTTCACATTTCTGTTTTGTTCATCAGATATTCCAAAACAGGATGAATTTTTAGAAGCTGCAAGCAGTGCTCTGCGAGCATTGCTAGAGACTATGGCCTCCAAAGGAATACCACAGGTATTGATGCAAAATGGTATTATAAATGTAATTTTTTGTGTTGCATTAGAATTTTTTTTATATTTAAAATGTAATTGGACATTTTGGTCGTGTGTGTTTTTTTTTTTTTTTTTTTTTTTATATACTGGAAGATTAATTATCCTCAGTTATTTCTGCTGTCTGCTTTTCTTTTACAGTGTATGACCCCAGAGCAAGTTATAAAATTTGGCGAGGGTTGTGTCGCTAGCAGTAACAGCAGCACAAGGGTGAATGCTGTCAGTATTATTGGGATTACAGGAAGTGTGCTGGCCAAGAGTGAAAACACTGCAGAAACACTGAAGGTACAAACTTTATTTACTTACTATTACCACAAACCTTTTTCAAGTACTGGACTACTACCTGAGTAGGTGTTTTACTCCTAGCTGTAGATCTGAATCTTGTGGAAAATCTAGTTACTTTTATGGGAAACTATGTTTTTGACTTTTTTTCTATTTTGTGTGTTCTGTGTATAGTTTTTAAGCTGTGTTTGCTGATATTTTTTTATTTTAATTCATAAATAATACATAATAAAGGGTTCCAAAGCACTATAGGTTGGTCAAAGAGTAAGTGCCACATAAGCAGGATCTAATGAGGACTTGCTTTGATTTGAACTTAAGGCTGAACTTTGACTGAATGTTTTTTTTTTTATTTTTATTTTTTTTTATGGAATCCATTTTTCTTCCCTTTGACGAAATGCAATAGCTGCTGATGAGAGCTGTTATGATGTTTGTTATGATTTTTTTTCTTTTATGCAAATGAGAAGGTACTTGCAGCACCCTTTTGAGTTTAGGTTATTTATATGAGAGTCATGCAAGTCTCCATCAAGCAGCAGTAGAAAATTAGATCAATAATGTGATTTTTTTTTTTTTTTTTTTTGTTCTTTCTTTCTTTCCCCCATTGAGGGACATAGGAATTCGGTTACTGGTGTGTTATACTCTTGTCTAGAGGCGGATTGGACAGTGGCAAACAGAAAAATTGTGGATAATCTCTCCTTTACCCCCCATGCATCAGTTTTTTTTTTGTAGGAGGAACATCTTCTCTTCAGCTCTGCTGAGAAAAGTCTCACCAATTTTTGCTAGCCTGTTCAGTTTTATTTTTTATTTTATATATTTCTTTCATTGACTTCTGTCAACCATCCTCACTATTATATCCCTGAATGAGCTTAATTCCTATGTGGCAGCTAGTTGGATCAGCCTCTAATCATCCTGATATTTAAAGTGCTGTACCTGGATAAGCAGTACAAGTAAAAAAAATGTGACCTTCAGGCACTGGCTTCCACTTGTGGGTCTTTCCATACCTTCTTGTCTTTATGAAATTTAGTCGCAGAGCATTTTTCAGGTCCCAAGCCGTAGCATTGCTCAGTGCTTGCCCGTCTCTGAAAACTCACTCTGTTTAACCCCTTCGTGCCTAAGGGTAAAACAAATCTAAATGCCTAAGCACAATTTTGCAACGTTGACCTGTGATAGTAAAATCATACATATCATCACAACTATTTTGTACATCCAGGTAGATTATACCGCGTTTTTTTCAGGACAATATGGGCTTTCATTTCGTGGTAAATGATAATGGATATCTCCTGATGTTTTTTATTATCAAAGTAAAACTGGCCCAAAATAGTAAATAAAAAATTTTTTTTTTCTATATTTAGCTGTGTTTCTTATTATTACCATAACCTACAACCAAAGAACAACCCAAAATAAATTCTCCAGCTCTTGACGATCACAGCGATTACCATATATGTGTATGTTACTTGTTGTTTGTACCCGTAGTACAGCTCTGAAACAATAGTGCGCATTTTGGGGGTTTTTTTTACCTAAAACACACTGACATTGACATTGACACTGACACTGATATCAATTTTTTTTTTTTAATCCTGACCTTTGACTCTGACCTTGACTTTTGACCCTGATCTTGACCCAAACAATAACCCTGGCACTGAACTAGATCAAACCTTGATCTAGGTATTTTTTCTTTTATTTTTTAATATTTATTTATCTTTTTTTTTTTTGTTTACAAAATGTTTTTTCTCTCTATGCCAGGAGTTCTCTCCATTCTTAGAGAGAGAAAACAAGGGGGCTGGGCTGCACAGTGACTGATCACTGTGATAGCCAATCAGAGGCTATCACAGCGATCATGTGACCCGGAATCGGGAGTCCCAGGTCCCGATCATTAGAATGGGACCTGGGGCTCTCAGTGACACCGCGGTCTTTGTGCTGGGAGTGCAGTGCGGCGCGCTCCCAGCACAAAGACAGGTATGCAAATATGCGCGGACCCACAGAAAAAAGCCCAGTTCCGTGAGGCCGCATATTTGTGTGACGTTGGCGTCAAGGGGTTAACGGGCTGACTGACCATTTGGAAACTCGGGCACTGCCCGAGGGCCCGGGGTCAGTAGGGGGCCCCATGAGATGCCCCTGGTACCTTTTTCATAGGCTTTTTTGAGTTTCGGCAAGGACACAGGGGCCCCATGATCCCCTATTGCCCGGGGGCCCCATGAGTTCTCAGTCCGCCCCTGGGGGTTAATAAGGTTATTTGGCTTTCAATACCAGGGTAGCTAGCAAAATACTTTCATGCATTAAAATGCGCATACATTCAAGAGACAAAGTAAGAATTCTAAACCTTTACAAAACACTGATTGGACCTCACTTGAATATGAAGTTCAGTTTTGGTCACCAGTTCCCAGGAAAGATGTTGAATTAGAAAGAGTTCAGTAAAGTGCAGGGAAATTAATAAGGGCAGTGGAAGATCTTGGCTATGAAGAGCGATTACAGAGATTACTAATTCACTCTGAAGAAAGGTGGTTAAGAGGAGGGGTATGATTACAATGTGCAAATATATCAAAGGAGACTACAGTAGTTGTAGTAAACGGTTTACTTTAAGGTCCCTGAAAAGGTTAGAAGAAAACCAGTTTAAATTTTAATTGCGGAACGAGTTCTTTAGGCCCCTTTCACACCAGTGCGTTTTTAGTGCTTTCTACAGAAACGCACTACAGTCCTTTTTAACATGGTTTCCTATGGAACATGTTCACATCTATGCTTTTTTGGGCTGCTGCATTTTTGGAAAGGGTCAGGGACTTTTTTAAAATCAAAAAGCAGCGTATTTGCTATGATAGATTTCAGTGGAAAATCTGCTGAAATGCATGGTAGTACATTTTTGCCACTTTTTGCAGTTTGCATTTTTATTCTGCCCAGCAGCAAAAAAAAATTCCACTTTAAAAAAACAAAAACTGAACAAAACGTGTCAAAAACACATGTAGAGAACCGCAAAACGAACTACAAAAAGCACTGCAAAATGGACAAAAAGCAAATGGCATAGGTGGGAATGGAGCCTTACTGTTAGAGCAGTAAAAATGTGAAGCTCCCTCACCTAGGAAGTGGAATTAGCTGATCATATTGACAACCCTTAGATGTCTTGTAGGAATTGTTAGAGAATAAAAATCACACAATTAACAACATGGAACAGAGCAAGTGGCTCTGCACTTAACGCCAGGCAACTCTAGCCACATAAGCATTATACGGGCCACAGCACCCATGTTAATGAGGCCTAAATAAAATAAAAGGGGTGGGGGTTCTGTGCTTACTGGTATGTTGAAACATCAAAGATCATTGTTTTTGAATTTTACTTAAAATTTGTGACACTTAAAACAAAGTTTGTGTACTGCAGCACAGTGATACTTTATCATCTTTATATACAATGTATAACTATGATGTACATTTTTGTTGTACAGTTTAACCACATGCCGCCCAGCCACTGTAGAAATACGTTGGCAGGGCGGCACGGCTGGGCAAAACCGCGTTTTAAAACGTGTGTTTGCAAAACAGGTAGGGGGCACGCGCCCGCCCTACCTGTCCCGCCGATCACGGCTGCAGATTTCAGTCGCCGGGTCACGGCTGGTTGTTACCGGCTGTGTTTCGCCGATTAGCAGCAATCACTGACAGAGAGCACGGCTGCAGTAGCTCTGCTTTCTGTCAGTTCCCTGTCAGCTCCTGACATGCTGAGCCGGAGAGAAGAGTTTATCTCTCCAGATCAGCGTGTCCCCCATGCAGTACACACTTCCCGCCCCCTAGTAAAACACTCCCCTCACACAGTTAACCCTTTCAGTAAATAAAGTTAACCCCTTCCTCCCCAGTGCCATTAGTACAGTGTCAGTGTTTTTTTTTTTTTGCACTGATCACTGTATTGGTGTCACTGGGGATGTCAGTGACCCCAAGTCAGTTCCCCCCCCCCAGTATCAGAATGTCCGCTGCAGTCCCGCCATAAGTCACTGATCGCCGCCATTATTAGTATAAAAAAAAAAATTAAAAATCCCGTATCTTTACCGCCATTTGTAAATGCTATAACTTTAACGTAAACCAATTAATTTACACGTATTGGGTTTTTTTTTTAGCAAAGACATGTTGCAGAATGCATTTTGGCTGAAATTTTATGACGAAATTAGATTTTTAAAATTTTTTTTACTTGACATGTTTTATAGCAAAAAGTCCAAAATATTTTTTTTTTTCTCAAAATTGTCAGCCTTTGGTTTTTTTATAGCGCAAAAAATAAAAATGCACAGGCGATCGAATACCACCGAAAGAAAGCTCTATTTGTGTGAAAAAAAAGGACGTAAATTTAATTTGGGTGCGGCATTGCATGACTGCGCAATTATCAGTTGAATTAGTGCAGAGCCGAGTAGCAAAAAAGGCCTGGTCATTAAGGGGGGTAAATCCTCAGGAGGGCAAGTGGTTAAAAAAAAATGTGATTTAAACTTTCAACAGAAGTAGAATACCCTTCCTCTTGTGCCCTTACGTGGACCATGAAGAACTCTCCCTGCTTGAAGCTGCTGATGGCCGGTATCTTCAAGGAAGCTAGAGCTTTGGAATATTTGGGTTTGTTCTTTAGGAGCACCCACTGCTGAGAAACCCAAATTAAGGAACAGATGGAGAAATTTTCTAGATGGGTAAAAATGTCACAAACCATTTTGTTCTTCATTTTTAAACTTTATCTCCTTCAGTTAATAGGAAGCTTCCTTCTTGGAGTTGCCAGTCATGATTCTTCCCTGGTGGTTTCCGGTGGAGCACTGGATGCCATTTTTGATGTATTTGCTGATGGTGATGAAGCGGAGAAGGCTGCTACGGAGCTAAAGTTACTTCAAGCCGTAAAGAAAATTCAGCCAGCTTTCAAATCGAAGGTAAACACTTGTCATCTAGTTTAATTATGCAGTAAAACAGCTAAAACAGTTTATCCTCTACCCTGGAGAAAACAAGCTATTAACCCTTGTAGTGTGGGCACAGACCCATTGCAAAGGATATTTTTTTTTATTTCTCCCTGGAGTTGGGCTTTAAGCAGTGCACAGAAAGGAGCTAATAAAATGTAGTAATCTATAACTCACCCCCACCAGAGCAAAAGGTGTTTTTCCTCAGAACTGGAAGAATTAATGGCATTTCTCTGAGAGTGCTAGTTACAGAAGTTTATAACCGCATATCCGCCACAGGATATTAGTATTAGAATTACAAGGAATTATTCTGCCATTCAGTGGAACATTTTCTGAAGTGCAGCCAGCTATCATGTGTGATCAAGTGTAGAAATGAGTAAACCAGTTAACTTAATTGTACAGTACAGGACACAGGCAAAATTTTCATACACATGGGGGTTGATTTACTAAAGGCAAATAGTCTGTGCACTGCAAATGCAGTTGCTTTATATCCAAGGGGAAGTTCTGGAAAGAGGCGAAGCTCTGCTGATTTCTTTTCATCCAATCATGTGCAAGCAAAAATCCTTTTTTTTTTTTTTTTTTCTTTGCATTTTCCCCCTCAGATCTAGAGAAAATGCACTTGCAGTGCGCAGCCTATTTACCTTTAGTAAATCAACCCCTATGGGTTATTGACATGTACTTTCAGGTCACTGGCAAAGCTTTAGAGGACACTCCTCCTGGGTACCTCTCCTATAACCCTACCTCACTGTGGAAATCATCAGTTTTGTGCTGGTGTTTGAAAGGTAGAATTTTTTTTTAAAGTTCAGCTTTGTGGACAGGTAATACAGGGTCACCCTGTGTTTCTGACTGTTAACCTAAAAAATGGGGCTGCGTTTGGAATATTTTGGTTCTAAAATTCAACCATTCAGAGCTCAGTCTCAGGTGGATGCCCAGGTGTTAAAGCACACCACTGGTTTCACTAGAGCCCTTATAAGGTACTTAGGCTTTTTCTTCCGCCTTCACTACTGGGATTCGTTACAGGATGGTCTATACCTGGATTACCATGTACTTGTTACGAGCACGTTTATACTGTGCACCCTATTCCATGAGTACCCTACAGGGGAATACACTTGTAGCTATGGCTGAGACCAGGAAAAGGGAATCCATGTAAAATCACAGGCAAACATTTGCTCTGCCAAAGGCCTGCACAACACACTTTAGAGTGACGATGTGTCCCTTGCACTGGTATAATTCTAGCTCTGTCTCAGGCACACAACAAGCAACCTATTGCAGAATTCTTTGCATCTATGTCACATTTTCTCAGATTAAGCCCTGGACACAGAAGGAAATTGAGGAAATCTTGGAGGAAGCTGCAAAAGATTTTTCTCCCTCAGATTGTTACTGTATTGAAGAGGAGGTTTCAAGCGACATGCTTGCGAATGTTGAACAGTTCATTGTCTGTCTGCTGAAGCCTTATGCAAGCTGACTGTCCTTCATCTTACCATGCCCCTTTAGATACAAAGAGGCCTACAAAACCCTGCAAAACATTCCCCTATTCATGTAGTTAGTCCTTCCATTGCTATCCTAAACAAACATTTCCCTGTTCCTATTGAATATGTTCCTTCTTTCAAAGATTCAGCAGGTAGAGCTTTTAGGAGCGTTTCTTTCTCTTTAAGCTTGCAGGCCTAGCCATGTAACCAGTTCTTGCTGCAGTTTCAGTTTCAGACTGCAGCTAACGACAATGAACAACCAAAATAACCATGTCTTTCAGGATTGTGCTGTAACGCAGCCAGTACAGCAATTGCCTTCTGCTCTACTTTAATAGGTGCCCTAGCCTAGAGCTTGTCATGAGACAAATTTCCAGAATGGTTCTAATCTCCATTCACATGCATAGTATCTTATGGCTAAAAGCTTGGAGAGCTGAAGCTGCCTGCAAAAGGCACCTCACACGTATGCCTTTCCGAGGAAGATGTCTGTTCAGTGAGCCATTTGACCAATTTACCGAAGAGGTTACTGGTGGAAAGGTTCTACTTCTATAGTGAAAGGTCCCAAATCCACCTTCTTCAGAAGCCCCTAGTTCCTCAAAATGCAGAGCACCTGTATGCTCCAATCAGGCTTCAACTTCAAAACCTAAGTCCAGCCCTTCCTTTCGGCGAAAGGCTTGGCCCACCAAGGCCATCAAGCCTTCCCCACAGCCCTCTTCACTCTAAAGAGTGTGGGGACACCTGTTTATAGTTTGCTTCTCTCTGGTTCATAGATGTCCCAGACCTGTGGGTTTAATCAGTCGATTCTAAATGGTACAAAATGGAGTTCAACACTCTATCAACTCACTGCTTGCTTTCAAATCAACCATAAACTGCCCAAGAAGAGTTAGATTTGCAAAATGCCTTGAGCCACCCCTTGCTCAGGGAGTCATCATGCCAGTACTGCAACAAAACCGGTTCAAAGGATTCTACTCAAACCTGTTTGTGGTATAAACCCATTGAGGGTGTTCATCTTATTCTTGATTTAAAATCCTTCAAATTCTAAAGTTCCACATGGAATTTGCAAGGTCAGTAACTGCCTTTCTGAGACTAAAACAATACAGGGCATTTGCGGACATCCAGGATGGATCTATATGTTCTTATTTACCCCTACCTCATCAGTGCTTTCTGCATTTAGCATTGATGGACAACCACTTTCTGTTTGTTACACTACCCTTTGGCCTATCCTTTGCTCCCAGATTATTCACCAAGGTCTTAGCACTTCTGCTTGCCCTGCTCAGAGCATCCAAATCACAGGCTATCTAGATAAACTTCTTCTGAACAACTCCTCTCCCTTGCAGCTATCTGAAAATGTCCACAAGAATAGTCAAATGCTTCCTTGGCTGGGTTGTTGATTGCAACACATCTGCTCTCCAGCCTTCTGTTTGCCTGAAATACAGGCATACGGGTATATTGCTCACATGCACGCCCCCCCACCTCATCTGTGCTGTGATTTGCTATAGCACATGTTTGGCAGCAGGTCCCCAGCAAAAGATTTGTGGCTGGGACCTGCTGATTGGCCTTGTCCAATCACAATACCGAGCCCTGTGTTTTTACTATTAGTGCAGGGCTCTGGCACAGAGCAGCAATGTGGTTGTTGCTTCTTCCTACCAAGCAGGGAGAAAAAACAGCTACATCTATTAGTAAAAGCAGCACATATAATACATGTTGTTAGGCACACAATTAACCCTTTGATTGCCCCTAGATGTTAACCCTTTCCCAGCCGGTGTCATTAGTACAGTGACCATGTTCAATATTAGCATTTATCATTGTATTAGTGTTACTATTGATGTCACTGTCCATGTATCTCCCAGCCAGCCTTGACTAGCACCAGATTGCCTGCAACACCTATCACAGTCCCTCTATAAGTTGCTGATCCCCGCCATCACTAGAAATTTCCAGCATATGTACCATAGTCTGTAGAAACCCAATTAATATACACTTTTACTGGGTTTTTTTTTTTTTACCAAAGACATGTAGACATACCTTTCTGGCCTAAATTTAACAGAAAGTAGAATAAATTTATTATTATTATACAGTATTTTTATAGCGCCAATAGTTCGCTCAGCGCTGTACATTACAATGGGAAACAATACATGAGACAGTACAATGACCATACAGTGTGATACACGAGGGGTACGAGGGCCCTGCTCCTTGGAGCTTACAATCTAGGAGGGAGGGGATAGTGGTACGGGAGGAAAAGCTGTGGTAGGGTGAAGAGAGGAGAAGATTAGCAGTTAGTAGGGGGCGGGGTAGGCTTCCCTGAAGAGGTGGGTTTTCAGGGTGCGCCTAAAGGAGAGTAGAGTAGGTGATAGTCTGATGGATTGGGGTAGGGAGTTTCAGAGGATGGGTGATGTCCTGCAGATATATTATAATATATAAGGAGAGTAGAGTATATATATATATATATATATATATAAATATATTTTTTTTTCTTTAATTTGTCTTTTTTTTCATATCTACAATAAAAAATCCAGTGGTGATGAAATACCAAAAAAACTCTATTTGTTTCGAAAAAATTTGATAAATTTAATTTGGGTACAGTGTTGCATGACTGTGCAATTGCCATTTAAAGTAGCGCAGTGTTGAATAGCAAAAAATGCCGTGGTCATGAAGGGGGTAAAACCTTCTGGAGCTCAGGTGGTTAAAGTGCAACTTCAGTGTGGTAGGTGACCTTGAAGGACGTCAATCATTCCATACTACTTAGTATTGAGATGTGTGTATCATTTTCCAAAAATCAAATTCAAATGCACATTTCTAAACTGCATAGGTAAAAAACAGTTTTGAACAGATGATACATTGTTAGATTGGCCATACACCCATATTTCTTTCGTTCAACCTGTGGGCTGAATAAACAAATCTGACAGTTTTTTCACCATCCAAACTAAACAACACAAATGGATAAACCTTCTGCCGAGGCTATTGTATTCTGACAGCCACTACCACCAGCTGTCAGAATACCTGAACAGTGCCCACATTTCAGCCCAGCCCCTTCAATTGTTCAATAGAAACATGTTAGGTGGAGTGGGGTTGTCAGGGCGACCCACTGATCGAATTTTATTAGGAAACAGCTGACCTTCACTTGCTGAATGGCCAGCTTTGGCAAAGAATTGTTGCACATTGGTTAAGAATAAAGCCAGATGAGATACGTTTATAGATATGTGTACACTATTCTCCCAGGAATTTGTAAGAAGCTAAAGGATATCAAAACTCGCTGGCATCTAATACCCAAAACTGAAATCCGATATGTATTGACTCCCCTTTTTAGAAGTAGAGCAAAGTATTTTAATTTGTAACAGGTGCATCAGATTTAGCTATTTTTCTGTAACATCTGTGCTAATTTCACTATTTTTTCTTTTTAACAGTTAAGGAAAGAAGGCAGAGAAAAATACAGTACAGACCAGTTGTGCGTCCTGGACAATGTCAGAACAAACCTCAGACGTTTCATTTCTTACCTGCAAACTGTGGAGAAAAAACCCTCAAAGGCTAAATGAAAACTAGCTGTATTTTCACCCCAAAAAAGTTTGGGATCTTCCAGCCTTTTACATGCTTTCCTTTTGGGACTATTGGGAAGTGCATTTTTCCCTTTTAAAATCCATGAAAGCTTAATAAATTATATTGTTCTGGACTTCAACAAATATACATATTTTCTAATGTTTTGCAGCATTGCCCACCATTTTTATATAAGGTTTATTTGGTATACGTATTTTTGATTAACTGATATATTTGATTCAAAATACTGTAAAAAGTATATCCTTTAATTGTGATCATTTCATATGATCCAGCTTGTGGAACAGAAACCAAATTAAATTGCAACTCATTTAAGTTGTAAAAAAGAAACCTTATCAGACGTTTTAAAATGGTTATGATGGCTACTGTCTACCTATAAAATTGTGATGTATCTGTGCAGCCAATCCTTGGTTAATCTGTATCTCCCTATACCAGTGAAAAGCAAGCAGTGTTGTTCAGCTCTCGTGGAACTACAAGAGCCAGAATTGTTTGCCAGCTAAACAGTATACTAGATCTGGCAGGGCATGCTGGTGCCTAATTTCACACCTCATCAATGTTGTTTGCAATTTACAGTGGCACATGCCATTTGCCAGTTTGTTACCCTTGCCTTTGGCCTGTTCACAGCTCCATGGGTCTTCCCAAGATGCTCGCCCCTTATCCTTGCCCTGCTTTGAGATCAGTGTTTCCTCATTGTGGGCTAAGTGAATGATTGCCTGTTGAAGATCAGTCATTCCAGGCTCTGTCAGCCAATACCCATCAGGATCCTCAATTTCTATACATCAGCTTTGCAACTGATTATTTGCGTTTGTATAGCTGGGCCTGATATTGGACACAGCCCTGTCCACGATTCTCCTACCTCAGGACAAATTAATTTTACAAATCAAAATTTAAATCTTCCTCTTTATTGAGGTACAGTATTTCTTTTGGCACAATTTCATAGTTTGCTCTCGTTACCTCAGCCTGTGTGTATCTCCCTCTTTTGGGAGGCCCTTGTTGTCCAGTCGTAGTATGGGGTAGGAGACTTCTGTGCATCTCAGGTTTTAAAAAATTGGCTGATGTTTGTCTATGGGGTTTGCAAGTGCACCTTATAAATGCATACACTGCTGAAAGCAATTTTTGCAAGGTAACCTTTGGCTATGTGCTTTCTATGGACTTACTCTGATATGATCGTATTATAGATTTGATCTACTCTTCAACCCCTAAAAAAGAATAATCGAAACATGGTTATTTCCCATCGTCAGACACTCACTGTTCAAGTTTTGAATAAAAATGTTACTATAAACCCTCCTGGGTTTAGATGAATGGGTATCCTTGTTGAATTTAAAGCACTTGTATGTTTTTATGTAATCAGCCATGTCATCACGTTTTTATGGATTTGATTATGTAATTTTAGTGCGTATGAATAGAGACAAACATTTTATGTATATGAATTATAATGTTTTGCCTATAAAGTCCCATGAGAGTTTCTTCTTTTTGTTTATGTGGAACTCATCTTGTCCTTTCTTCATTCTGATCTAGACCATCATCTGGTCTTGAGTACCATTAACATACTCTCATTCCCTGTTTAAGGCCTTTGTGCAGAGTGTTGCACATATTGCTCCTTATGTTTGATCCATGTTAGCACCTATGGACCTTAACCTGGTTCTTCCAGTTTTTCAGTCTTTAGACTACCTGATGTCCTTTCTGTTCATCCCGATCTCCTGCCACAAGATCCAATCTTCCCACCTTTATGGTAGTTGGCTTTAATAACATGGCTATTGAAGCCAGGGTCTTGAGAGACAAGGGAGTCTGATTCTGCTATTCTTTTTCTTTTAATAGCCAGGATGGCCAGTCTGAGATAGATTCATAGCAGGACCGGAAAATCTTATAATGCTTGGTGTGAGACTAGCAATTTTAAGCCTTGCAAGTATGCGGTGGGTCATATTTTGGCCTTTGTCAAAAGATTGTTGATATTTGTCTGACCTAGAAAACCACCAAGGATCAGATCACAGCCTTGGCAGTCTCTTTTTTCTGAGGCCAATTGATTTTTATTCTTTGGCGCATGCCTTGGTACAGGGTGCCACGAGTATTGCCATCTTTTCCCCCATAGAATTTCAATTTACTTCTACCTGTCTTACAAAAACATCCATTTTGACCCCATTCTAGACATTTTTTTTTTTAGTAGTTTTGATGTTGAAGGCTGTGTTTTTGGTTGACATTACTTCAACTTGTAGGGTCTCAGCTCTGGCTGTCCTTTCCTGTAAGCAGTCGTTCTTGATACTCGAACTGTGACAAGGTGGTTCTTCAACCTCAGCTGGTTGGGGAGAAAGTAGTTTCACACATTAAATGTGGTTAATGCGATCAGGATTTGCCTAAGGCTAGTGCTGCAGTTCGGCAATTGGATTCCCTCTTTGCATTTCACGAGGGCCCAAAGAAAGGTCATGCAGCTCCATTGGATTTGTCAGCTTATTTCTCAAACTTATGGCTTGAAAGGATAGGTGCCACTTTTCTACATGACGACTTTTTCAACCAGGAGTGTAGGTGCAGCCTGAGCTTTCCGTCATCAAATTTCAGTAGCTTAAGTTTGCAAGCCACTACCCGGTCTTTGTTACACACTTTTACAAGGTTTTACCAGGAGGATGTTGGAACCACTTAGGATGCTACCTTTTGGTTGCAGTGTTTTGCGTGATGTTTCTTTTTGTTTATGGGGCCTGTTGGCTTGCGCCTGTTGTGCCCTCCCTTCATATTCGGTGCTTTTGGACGTTCCTGTTTATAAGCATGAAAAAACTTGGTCTGTGTCCCTTGATGTGCAATAAAGAAATTTAGATTTTTGGCTTACCTGTAAATCGTGTTTTACGGCTTCCTGCAAAATTGAAGCCATTTCTACAGGTAACAGGTTATGCCTAGGAGGGGACTTCCTGTTTTTTTTTTGCCACTGTCCACTTACCTGTAGGTGTCACATAGCCTCTTCGTAAGGATTGCTGAAGCTGCTCTGTGTTTCTTGATATACTCCAAGAAATGGATTTTACAAGTAAGCCAAAAATCAAATATTTTCATAGACTACTGGCTACTCATTCCCTAGTAAAGGCCTTTGTTCAAGGTGTGACGTACATCACTTCTCGAATGCGTTCACCTGACACACCTTGGGATCTGAATGTGGTTCTGTCTGCTCTACAGAAACGTCCCTTTTGAGCCTATTCTGAATATTTCCTTGGCTGATCTTGCTGGTATGGTGTTTTATTGCAGTTATCCTGTCAGTGAGATGAGTTTTAGAACTTGAGGCCTTATCCTGTAAGGAACCCTTCTTCATGAAGACAAGGTGATTTTGAGGCCTCAGGCCTCCTTCCTTCCTAGAATGATTTCCCTTCTTAATCAGGACATTGTCCTACCATCTCTATGCCCTGCTTCTAAGCACCCCAAGAAAAGTCATTACATAGGGAACACACAGTGTGAGTTTACCTTTCTGCCACTGTCTCCATCCTTTGGATTCTGTTTTCATGCCTGAAGGCCCTCTCAAAGGCTGCCACCTGGTCCTCTGTTTACACATTTTTTTAAGTTTTATTAGCTGGATGTTCAGGACTCTACTGACACCAGCCTTGGCTGTAAAGTGCTTCAAGCTGCTCTTTGAGTTGGGAATCTGGTTCCCTTGATTTTGCCTTGTTGGCAGTGTTTGATATGGTGCCCACCCCTCCGTTGTATTTCTTGGGTAAGTCCCATGGTCAAGACTTGAGAATCCTGTGTCCTGTATTATACAATGAAGAAATAAGGTTTTTTGACTTGCTCTGAAATCCTTCTCTTGAAGTACTATATAAGGCACACCCCTCTTTTTTTCCTTTGCTTGCTTAAAAATTGAGGATTGCTTGGAGCCAGAGGTTTTGTTATATGAGCTATTCAACAGCTTTTATTAACCGTTTGCCAGTGTCCTCACCTGAAGGTAGTAGTATCTAACTCAGGCCTTGAAATTTCCACTCGCCTGCTCGCCAATGGCGAGTGGAAATTATGGTGGGGGCGAGTGTGTCCCCCAGGGCCATCTTGCTGAGCAGGCTCGGAGCTCAGGCCAGATTTGTCATTGGCACTGGGAACCGTCAGACTGCTCAATAGCTGAGCACAGTGAAAAAGCAAAGGAAGGAGTGTGTGCTATGCTCTCTGACTCCCCCTAGAGTGCAGTACCCGACTCTGTGAGTGAACAACAAAGTACTGCAACTTTTTATGTGTGTGTGCCTACCTAATTTCAGCTCCCTCTGGTCACATGATCCTCTGTCAGCCAGTGGTGGCTACAGGGGAGGGGAGAGGAGAGAGAGCACTTAACAGCGCGTGTGTGTGTGTCTGTGTATGCATGTACATGTGTGTATCTGTACATTTGTCTGCATGTATGTGTGTGTACATATACGTGTGTGTGTTTTGTGTATGTACGTACATGTGTCTGTGTGTATGTACATGTGTCTGTGCATGTGTATATCTGTGTATGTACATGTATCTGTATGTATACATGTGTCTGTATGTGTGTGTGTGTAGATGTGTCTCTGTGCGTGTGTATGTACATGTCTGTGTGTGTGTACAGGTGCCTCTGTTTGTGTGTGTTTGTTGGTGGCAAGTAACTCTTAAGGCCTGGCTAGTAGCTCAGGACTTGAAATTTTAAGCCCTGATCTAAACCATGGTCAAAACTTAAAGGAGCCTATGTCCTGTACTGTGCTCCAAGAAAAGAGACAAAATCTTTATTTTTGAGTTTCCTGTAAAATCGTTTTCTTGGACTACAGTACAGGAACGCAGGACCCTCCCCTCTGTTTTTTAGGATCTCTCTATTGCTTGTTACAGAGCTGAGGCTAGCTTAGGGAGAGGCTTCTCTTCTCTTCTCTCCTCTACTTCTAATGCCTCAGAAACCAATATGTTTCTGAATTGCAGCAGTAAGCTGTTGTTTTTCTGTACTAGACCTCAGATGGGCATTTATTTTTCCTTTTACTATTCAGTACAGCTTGTTTATTCTTCCTCACCTCTCCCAAAACCCATTTGCCAGAACTTGTCTGCGCTCTGCCTGCATGGACTACAGAACAACGCAATTACACCATCGGGTCATGTGGTACATTCAACCTGTAACTGTAGACAATCAATGTCACCAGTACTGTCTATTACCTCCTAATCGCACCAACAAATTCAGATTCAGCCCATCAAATTTCAATTTTGGTCAGCACTATCATTTCCCTTGGGTGTTTGGTAGCACATATAAAACATCACTCCCACATGGATTACCCCTGCAGGAAGTGATTTCTAAGACTCATGGGAGATGTCGTTTTTAAATCTATACTGTAGCATTTTTTAAAAATGTGTATGCAGTTTATTAGTTCTGCTGTAGGATGCTCTGCAGACACATATAGGAAGACATGAAGTCCTTAGCTGTCTACTACGTTTTCATCAATGATTGCAGTTTTGCTTTTGGTGCATTTAAAAAAAAAAATGTAACATTTGTGTTTTGGGGTTGTTGCAATACAGATATGTTTAATAATAATAATGGAAAAATTTAAAAAAAAATAAAGATTTATTTGTCCATTTATCTGTTTCATGATGTTTCTCTGGCATGTAACATGGCAAGAACAAAAATATACTGTGTTGCTGCCTGAAAAATGATGTAGTAAAATATGAACATTGTAGTCATGTTAAGGTTTAGAAATTAATTGGGATGAGCCAAGTGATTTTAACAAAATTGATTTTGCAGCAGAATTACCAATTTCTCTATAGAGTAAACCTTTCTTATTTTGCAGCTTACCAATTCTTTGATGTGATGACTGCATTCATTTTCTTTTTTGGCTTTCTTTCATTTATTTTCACCTGGTGATCCTGCCAGTAAATTTGGTATTTTTCAAAAGAACAAGCTCTCCAGTAGAATGTATCCTTTACAGAGATGAGACAAACCATTAAACTCTAGCAGAGGTGATTACAATGATCAGCTTTTAAAAACCTTTATCCCAAAAGGGAAAAAACATTTTGCTAAGAGGTTGATAGCCTTTTCTTCAGTTCTGCTGAAAAATGGCTAATTGTTGTTGGTGCCTTCATTTGGGCGGCACAGTGGCTTAATGGTTAGCATGTCTGCCTTGCAGTAAATGGGTCATGGGTTCGATTCCCGACCATGGCAACTCCTGCATGTAATTTGCATGTTCTCCCTGTGCCTGCGTGGGTTTCCTCTGCGTACTCCGGTTTCCTCCCACACTCCAAAGACATGCTGGTAGGTGAATTGATTCCTGTCCAAATTGTCCCTAGTATGTGTATGTATGAATGTGGGTTAGGGACCTTAGATGTACAATATATATATGTAAAGCGCTGCGTAAATTGACAGCGCTATTTAAGTACCTGAAATAAATAAATAAAATTTAGAACTCCTTACATATGACTACTTGAGCTGGTCTCTATATAGCTATCCAGATTGTCAGCTCCTTTTGCACTAGCTTTGGCGACTGTACCCAGACACCGATGGAAGAGTGCAGGAATAAGAATGTGACCATTGAGCACTGGACTATGAATTTAGTGGCTTCAAGACCAGTGTTTATTAGTCAGCTGCAGAACTCATTGAGGGTCCAGAGCCATGGCACATCTCCAGATATGACTCCCTCTGAAAAACACTTTGGGTGTACGGCTGGTCGGACTGAAGCACTAGGAGCTATCTAAAAATGTAGCACTAATTACAGACACAAATAGTGTAACAGTAGTAAGACTCTCACAATAAAATGCTTATAAAAATTGTGAAACTCTTCCATGGATAATTGAAAACCACATACACTATACAGTAAAGTACAACAATAAATTTCAAATCTGGGAAATGAAAGCCTTTATATAAAAGTGCAAACAATAATAATACAGATCTTCCACAGAGTAAGATAGTCTTCCACCACAATGATCAAAAAGTCCCAAGATGTGACTGTATTGCTTAATTTCCAAAGAAATTCCAAAGCATGGTTGAGGCTTCAATAATCACACCAGTAAACCAGAGCACCATAATCAAATGCTAGGCATACCAGAATGCTGGGCCTTGAAGCCTAGAGTTCAATCTAAATATGAGTATGGTAAAATCCCTATACAGGATGACAAATGGATTGCTGTCACCTCATCTTCTGAGATCACATTTGACTATCATCGGAAAGAAAAAAGCTCCAATAGTGTGGATCAACCAATATTTTTTTTTTTTTTTTTTTATATTGCAAGAAGCCAAAAAAAATAAAACTGCATATAGCAGGAATGCTAATAGTTTAAATATCCTGCCACCACTGATTTACCACTGTAAGGTTTGAGGCTGTGAGGGATCAAGGGCTGCCATCATCCATTGGGGTGCTGCATGCACGCACTCAGCTGCTCCTGCCTCTAAACACTATGTGGATCTCTGGTTGATTTCCACTGCTCATCTACAATAACTGGTCACTTCTTCCCATCTGAAGCCCTCATCGGCACCTGCTGACCGGGTTCGTGAGTGTTTGAGGTCTACTTTGCCTTACTTTGGGCCTAGTTTCACTACTGCTGAGTAGACCCGATTTCCCTAAAACACGCAGATTATAGTCCATCTGCTACATCCTTTACTTCCCTAGTAGTTATATGGGTGTTTAACTTATCTCCAGAAAGAACCAAAGTCTGCAATCTAGAACTGAAGGCTCCTATAGTTTTTGGGTCCATTTTGTTTCCTGCTGCTCTGCTGGTCAGGTCTGAGGCCTCCCTTATATCCAAAAGGACCTCCATGTCCACTCTGGACTTCCTGTCTGTTCTGTAGAGGTTCTAAGCATGCTTTGGTGCCATCTTCAGCAGGTCTGCCTATGTTTCTCCTGAGTCCCAAGGAGGGATTAATTCTGAATCCCAACAGTCCACTCCTAAGGAGCTTTTTGAGCCACCCACTGATAACTCTGATTTACAAGGGGTTGTCCCAAACCTGATTGGAGAAGTAAGGCCAAAGCTCTATTGGTCATACTTCTCATGTGGGTAACTGGAGTGCCCTTAGTTCTGCACTCTTGAGACACATTTTCAGCTGACCATGAGCTAAAGTCCACTGTTGGCTGATGTCACAGATCCAGTCCAGGCTCTGGGAAGATTCCAACATTAATGTCGGGATTCACCCAGAAGCTGAACCAGCCACTCTTGCCCGCTCTGCAGCCTGTGCTCCAGTGAGTACTGGAGGGGGAAGAGTAGAAAGCAGGTGACTGGCTCTCTGCACACTAAAGACCCAGAACTGAGCAAAAAGCAGTCTTTAACCACTTCCAGACCGGACACTTTTACCCCCTTCCTGACCAGGGCAATTTTCAGCTTTTAGCGCTATCACACTTTGAATGACAATTGCGCGGCGGTCATGCAACACTGTACCCAAATGAATTTTTTACCATTTTTTTGAGATAAAGCTTTATTTTGGTGGTATTTATTCACCACTGGGATTTGTATTTTTTTTGCTATGTAAATGAAATGTCCAAAAATTTTTGAAAAAAAGTGTTTTTTTTTTATAAAATTTTGCAAATAAATAATATTTCATCATAAATCTTAGCCAAAATTTATTCCGTTATCTTTTTAGTAAAAAAAAAAAAAAAAAAATCCAAATTAGTTTATAAGCAAAAATTATAATTTTTAAACATTTTTTTTACATTTTTATTTTTTTATATTTTTTATTTTTTTTATACTACTTGTGAGGGGTGATGAAGATTTTTTTTTTTTTTTTACACTGATTGCTTTTACACCCATATAGGATGTAAAAGCAATCATTTCTCTTTCTCTCTGTGCATTCTTGCACTCATTGAGAAGAACTGAGTGAGCTGTGATTGGTCACAGCTTGTCACATGGTACAAGGCTTTTGTGAATAGCCTTGCACCATGTGACCTCTGTGATCATTCACAGATTTCACACATAGTAAGCAATGATGTCAGAAGTGACATCTTGCTTACTACTTTGCATGTGATCACTGATTGGCCAATCAGTGATCACATGATCGGGACCTCATACAGAGGTCCCGTCCGACGATCGGTGTTTCACTGTGTCCGGAGGACACAGCGGGCACCGGATCGCGGTGCACGCGCGCTCCAGGGAGCGCGCACAAGCAGGGTGCGGGGAGGCCGTTTATAGACGGCCACCTGACCCTGCAGTGCCACCGTCCGGCCGTTTATATACAACGGCCGGTCGGGAAGTGGTTAATCATTCAGTTCTCATTGTGGAGTCAGTGGGGGACAGCTGCAGCTAGGATTGGTGCTGCAGCCATCTAGGCGAGTATGTTTCCCCCAAACTCTTCTTTTAATGCAATTTGTACCAGCCTGCCTTTTGAGGTTCGGCCTGCTGTTCCAGACCTAGAGTGGTTTTCGAGCTCCTACACCTGATAAGACCTTCTTCTTACACCTGCTGTTTGAATAACTCACCTATGAAAACTGGAAACACCCTGAAGATTCTGGGGACACCTCATAATGTACAGTTGTGTTCAAAATAATAGCAGTCCAACATCACTAATCAGATCAATCACTGTTTTTGGTATAAATTATATTTCTACATGGCAAATAATTTACTAGTAGGTGTAGTAGAGTAATAGAAAACAAATAGACCCAACAGTCAAGCTGCTGATTCAGTGTAATTGAATCATTAATTGAAAGGG